CCCGCCTCTCGGCTAGACACGCCAGGGCTGCCCGACAGTAGCCGCATGTGCTCGCTGCCCCCACAGGAGGGCGGCCCAGCCCGCCTACGCGTCGGAACGGTGGGACAGGGCGGGGTGCGGAGCGAGAGGTGTCCTGGGCCCGTGGGGACGGCGGCGCACCTTGCTCTGCGTGGCCGAGGACGACGGGGTGGGCTGGGCTCTGGCGGCCTCCGTCTCGGGCTTCTTCTCCTCGGAGGCCATGGCTGTGGCGCCCGCGGCAGGACACGGACGAGGCGGTCACGCGCGAAGCAGGGGCCTCTCGCCGCCGACTGAGACCTACGCGGGGGCGAGACCCACGGTCACCCAAGTCCACGAAAGAGGCGGCGCAGACGCAGCTGGGGGCGAACCACGGTGTCCTCCGGAGGCCTCAGACAGGCGCCGCCTCTGGCAGGAACCTCAGGGCAAGTCGGGGCCCAGCTTCGGGCGCGGGGGGTTGGGGCCCATGCGGACCCTCAGCTGCACCCAAGGGATGGCTCCCCGCTGACCAGTCGAGGCCCTCCCCTGGCCCCGCTGCCGCGCAGGCTGCTCCGGGACGCGACGCCACACAAGGGCCAGGTCATGCGGGAGCAGGGCCCGCCGCCCCAAAGGGGCCTCCTGCCCACAGCGCAGCTGCCCAGTGGCCCCACGGTGACCCCAGAGACCAGCAGCCCGAGCACGCCGGCAGGGAGGCGCGACCCGGTCCCACCAGGAGATACAGGCGCCCCCAGAGCCGAGGGGGTCGGAAGGCTCCACGGGGAAAGTGGCCATGCACCAGCACATGCGGCCGCAGGGCCTGGGGGGGGCCACACAGGCAGGCGGCACAGGGTGAGTGGACCCGGCGGGGGGCGGGTCCTCCATGCCCCTGGTGGCCCAGGGACCCACCTTCAGCTCGCTGGCTGGGCGAGTCCGCGGACAGAAAGGGGGTGGGGGGGGTCCTGTCCCACACCGCAGGGGGCCGGCGGCCCACAGGTGAGCCCCTCTGCAAACCCTAGAGGCTCCCCTGCTGGGGGGCGGGGCTGGTGTCGAGTCCACACAGGAAAAGGGGCAGCAGGTCCCCGAGGAGCACTCTTGGCTGCAAGTGAAGACCCCGGAGGAATGGGGAGCCCCGCAAACCCGCGGGATGCCAGTAGGTGGACACCAGCAGGTGTCTAGCGGCTCCCGCCCAAACCAAACCCAACAGCACGCAGGGCCCCGCAGGCAGGCGAAGGTCAGCAAGCCAGGCACTGGCCGCTGAGGCACCGGCTCTTCCCAGCCCCAAGGTCCAGCTCACGTGGAGGGGCTGGGCTGGGCGCCTGCCTGCCAACACCAGGTGAGAGGGCTGGCTCGGGAGAGGAGGTCCCCGACCCGGCCTGCGCCCTGCCCCTCCGGGCGCTGGCGGGACCTGACCACCAGGTGGGGCCTCCCGGATCCCCAGAACTGCCCGCCAAGCGCAGTTTCCTGGGCTCGTGAGCCGGACGCGGGAGCCGGGGC